TTAAGAATGATGGAGGCCACTGTGTTCTTGGGGACCTTCAATGCTTCAGACATTTTTTGGTACCCTTCCCCAGATCTGTGCCTCGACCAATCAGGCCGATGTGAGTAAGACATTTGAATGTGTTAACCCTTTCAAGGCTGCCGCCCCAGATGGCATTCCTAGCCACGTCCTCAGAGCATGCGCAGACCAGCTGGCTGGTGTGTTTACGGACATATTCAATCTCTCCCTATCCCAGTCTGCTGTCCCCACATGCTTCAAGATGGCCGCCATTGTTCCTGTACCCAAGAAAGCAAAGGTAACTGAACTAAATTACTATCACCCCGTAGTGGTCACCTCTGTCATCATGAAGTGCTTTGAGAGACTAGTCAAGGATCATATCACCTCCACCTTACCTGTCACCCTAGATCCACTTCAATTTGCTTACCGCCCCAATAGGTCCACAGACGATGCAATCACCATCACACTGCACACTGCCCTATCCCATCTGGGCAAGAGGAATACCTATGTAAGAATGCTGTTCATTGACTATAGCTCAGCATTCAACACCATAGTATCCTCCAAGCTCATCATTAAGCTTGAGGCCCTGGGTCTATACTATCTATTGCATCTTAGCCTATGCCACTCTGATAATGACATTGCTCATCCATATATTTATACTGTATATTCTTATTCCATTCCTTTACTTAGATTTTGTGTGTATCAGGTTTTTGTTGTGGAACTGTTAGATATGACTTGCTAGATAAATAAGGTATTTCTGCTTTTTATTTTTAATACATTTGCAAACAATTCTAAAAACCTGTTTTCGCTTTGTCATTATGGGATATTGTGTGTAGATTGATGAGGGGGGAAATTATTTAATCAATTTTAGAATAAGGCTGTAAAGTAACAACATTTGGAAAAATGAAGGGGTCTGAATACTTTCAGAATGCACTGTATGTGGATTTCTGGTTTATTTATTTTATTTGCTATTCATTATTATAATAAAATAAATAATAAGCCATTTAGCAGACGCTTTTATCCAAAGCGACTTACAGTCATGCGTGCATACATTTTTGTGTATGGGTGGTCCCGGGGATCGAACCCACTACCTTGGCGTTACAAGCGCCGTGCTCTACCAGCTGAGCTACAGAGGACCACATTATTACATAGGACCATTATTATTATTATTATATTTAAAAAAAGGTTTGCTTTTCAATTATGCTTTATTCAATTCTGCTAATGTATATAATGCTACTATAATGGCATCATGTTATGTTGGCATGTTGGCAATGTTAATAGAATAAAAGCATAATGGATATTTTGGGATTGAACTGAAAAAGAAAATGCAGAAATGTACCTCCACCTTAGAGGACTTGGTAGGAAAATCAGCTTATTCTCCAGACAATAAACAGAAACACAGAACTTTCATATCCAACAGTTTATTATTGAAAAAGCCCTCTCTAATGCATGGCACAAAGTCAACTAACACACACATAAAGCATCTGTATTAAATCATTTATCTTAGCTATAATAATGGCATGATGATACACGTGTGTTACCTACACATCAGTTTAATCATATGCATCATCTCCACCATCCTCTGTGTGTGTGTGTGCGTGCGTGTGTGTGGATGTGTGTGTCCCCTATAAGACAGTGTATAAACAACTAAACCAGAAATATACAGTTTAGGCTATTGATATAGATACTGTATAAAACCCACACAAGACAGGTACAGAATACAACCAAAACAAATACAGTCCTTCACAACTGGGAGAGGAAAACACAAGCATATAACACACAAGCTCAACTGTTAATGATACTCTGATATGAACACAGTACCGTAGTAATAGGTAGAAGCACTATGGCAACGCTAACTCTCATTATACATAACAGTAGAGGGAAATTAATCTTTCCAATGAATCAAATGGATAGATTAAACATTTGGTAGATGCTCTCATATCTCATATAGCTTTTTGTCACGTTCTATCTTGCATTGAATTAAATCTGAATTAGTCCCACTATAAAGTACATCATGACAGAGAGACAGACTGACAGAAACATCTTCCTGAGAGTAGTGGTGCGGTTTTGTGTTATTCAAACAGGGGGAACCAAACTGATTCAAATAGGGAAACCGTATTAACATGTAATAATTATATAATTATATCAATTTACATCATGAAGAGTTGGATAAAAGCGAATAGTTACTGAGAATACTCCAAGCACACATGTAGCTTCTCAATCTAGCCCCATTATGGCTGCATTTACACAGGCAGACAAATTCTGATATTTCTTCCACTAATTGGTTTTTTGACCAATCACATCAGATCTTTTCACATCAGATCTATTTCAGAGCTGATCTGATTGGAAAAAATACCAATTAGTGAAAAAATATATAAGAATGTGAAGTTGTCAACCTGTTCCAAGCTGAAGTAAATATGGAGAATGAACTTTCAGCATACTGAGTATAGAAGCTAACATATTTTCCATAATGAGGAGTGAAAGTACAACATCCATAAGTACAAGGGCACCTGTTAGAAATATACGTTTTTAAAATTATTGTAGGAGATTAATTAGTCACCATGGAAGCAACAGTTACTCAAGTACCCCTGCACATTGTAATTTTGGTACTGACACTGAGCCTGTATATAGCTTGCATTCTCATGTTTTTCTTCTTCTCGTATTTCTCATGTGTTTTCCTCCTTTATATTATTACTTTATACTATTACTTTATATTATTACTTATATATTACTTTAACGAGCTATTGGATGAAGACGTGGAGATAGTGACGGAAGGATGGTAGAGAGCGTGAGATGAGAGATATCGAGACGTGAAGAGATAATACTTAACATATTGAGTACGTAGACGGAACGACGGAACAGACGGTATGAAGTATGAAGGACGGATGCTATACCTTAGTACAGGCTGAGATGAGGACGACTGAGACTGAGACGATGTAGGAGACGAGATAGAGCGGATGAGATACACGACTGAGAGGTAACTGGAGAAGAGATAGTGTAGACTGAGTATAGTAGACGAGAACGGAGGGAGAACGTAGAATCGGGACGTAGGGGGAACATACGTGATGAGGTAGATGATACGAGACGAGATGAACGGGATGAGAGATGATACGGTGATGAGTACGGAACGTATGACTGACAGTACGTGAGAAGACGTGATGAACGTTGGAGACGAGTACGGAATGAGTAGACAGTAGAATGTAGAGCGGAGGACGTATACGTAGACTAGATACTGATGAAGTAGCTAGAAGGACGGTGAGACGAGGACGGTGACGTAGACTACTGTAGTATGTGAGACGAGTACGATGACTAGAGATGAGAGGACTGGTAAGAGTACTGGATCGAGGTACTGTGATACGATGGACTGGGATATGACTGACGTAGAGATACGGGAGACGAGACGGGAGAGAGGACGGGAGACGAGACGGAGAGAGGACGGTAGACTAGGACGGGAGACGAGGTACTGGACAGGAGAGGGAACAGGACGGGAGAGTAGAGGGAGTACGAGACGGGTAGACGATAGGGATGACGAGGACGTGACGTAGACGTAACGATTACTTATACTAGGACGTGATATATACGTTATACATACTTAGATATTATTATATTACTTATATACTTGGATTGAGTACTTTATACTATTACTTATACTATACTTGAACTATTACTTACTGACTTTATATAGTACTTTATTATTACTATTACTATGTATTACTTATACTTATCTACTTTATTGAGTACTGCATTCATTGTTGGGAAAAGCTTGCAAGTAAGCATTTCACTGTACTGTTTACACCTGTTGTATCCTGTGCACGTGACAAATAAACTTTGAAACTTGAGCAGGTTGACGTTTATTGGGACGAGTCTTGTCCTTGAGGCAGAACTGAGCAATTTTCACTAGATGGGCTAACTGCAAAGTCAACATTGTCTATATTGTAAAAATTCATGAAACATTAATTTAACGTTAGGGTAGGGTTAGGCATTACGGTTAGCAGTGTGGTTAAGTTGAGGGTTTTAAATCAGATTTGATTACTTTGTGGCTGTGCCAGCTAGTGACGAAAAACGCTAACCTGCAAAACTTAAAACTACAGTAGGTCCTTGCTACCACTTCTTCCACAGTCTGTTAGATTCTCTGAAAGCATAGAGTTCAACTCCTCTTATCATTCAAGACTAAATCAGTTAAAGACCAGTATTACTCATCCACTCAGTCATCAGTCAATCAGTCAGTCAGTCAGTCCTCAGTCAGTCAGTCAGTCCTTCTTCAGTCAGTGTGCCAGTCACTCAGTCAGAGTGCTGACACTAGCAATAAACTTATTTAGACTTTCATGTATTCTGTATGTCTGGGTCTCAGACAGGCTGAACTTGGATAAAAAAAAGTTATACATCAAAGGCGATACATTCTGATTGATGGTAAGGGAATAAAATAACATTCTGTACCCAGAACCCATTTTTCACACCACCTAAGTTTATCTGTAGATGTGATGAAGGATTGGAGGGGGTGGGTTGACTTGGTACAGGTGACAGGAGTTAACTCCCACACACCATTACCTCTGCATGTGACATTTACTGTCCACGTTTCGTTCTGTGACCTTTTTCAAGACACGACAACCGAAATATTGACAATAAACAGCACGTGTATCCTGAATGCAGGAGTGATCTTTCATGTCTCACTACCAGTCACACTGCAGTAGAAACCCTTCTCCACAGGGTATTGTACTGCAGAACCTGGCTTGTGGAAGCTCATGCAACAGTTAAGTATCAATGGTAGGATTAGATTTTCTCGTTTCAAAAAAAGGTGTCTGGTTGTCTTGATTTCCACATCAAACCTTGGATTAACTAACCAGTGAGTCAAAAACTACACCTTTGTGTCAGAACATAATATGTAATTTTGGGGACCAAAAATAACAAAGTAGAAAATATAGCAGGCAAATCATAATGCATGGCGGTATAAGAATATATTGACATCTTCATCATGGACAACTTGGTTCAGTGAGAACCACCACTCATGCTTCTTTCTCTTGTGTAGTGTTGACTGCCCCGTAGCTCCCATCCCCTGTCCGTAGTTTCCTGGCCTGTATTATTTTCACGGAGGCCTTCTTGCGGTTGCTGGCCAGGCCCATCCAGCACATGAGATCGATGAAGCATGTGGTGGGGTTGAAACGCAGGCCGAACTCACTGGTAGAGTAGTCAAAGGGGAACGTGTGGTGAAAGTTATGGAAACCTTCACCTAGGGGGATGAGGATGGGGGACAGGTGGAAGTACAAATGTTATATGTATTCTTTTGCATACAATTCCAGTCATTTCAATCCATTCATTTGAATCTTACAAAGTAAAAGCAGTAAATGAGTGACCATAGATATAACAACATTATGACACACTACAGTAGAATAAGTTGTTTATGAGTTAATAACATGTTATTACAGGTCATAGCCAGACTCACCGATGGCTCCGAAGGTGACCCAGCGGTTCTCGCGGGGGCTGATGTTCTGGTCGTACGGTCGGTTCCCGTACATGTGGGCGGCGCTGTTCACCAGCCAGGTGACGTTGAGCGAGACGGTGTAACGCAAGATGGACGCCAGGAAGTAGGAGTTCCACAGCGTCTCGCCCCAGAAGTACCAGGGAACCACGGTGGGAACCAGGAAGCACATTATCAGGACAGAGGTCTTATAGTACCTGGGAAATAATAGAGTCAAAAGGAAGGGCGAGGAGAGAAGAAGAGAAAAAGGAGAGGTGATGGGTAACAGGAACGGAGATGAGAGGAGCAGAGAGGAGAGGAAAGGAAATGAGAGGAGAGGAGATGAGATGAGAGGAGCAGAGAGGAGAGGAGAGGAAATGAGAGGAGAGGAGATGAGATGAGAGGAGCAGAATATCTCATAGGGCTTATTCAGAGTAATTTATGACTTACAGAAGGGATTATCAACTAGATTCAGCCGCGGGCCGATTTTTCCTTGAGCGGATGGTCAGGGGGCCGGAACATAATTACAAACAATTTGTAGACTGCAAATTGACCGCAAGAAGCCCAAACAAATTTAATGTTTGACTAAAACGTATTAATTTCAAACCTTGCTTACATTTGTCTCTACATAATCTCTCTATTATGGGTGGGAATACTTGGGAACAGATTTCTTAAATTAAAATCACTTGGAGCTGATTTACTGGTGTTTTTTTACAGTCTTTTATGTCCAACAATTAAAATTGTTTTGTTCAGTAAACTTGGGGGGCCAAATAAAACCACCCACGGGCCGCCAGTTGGGGAATCCTGACTCACAGGAAGACAAGTGCAAAGCTAGGGTGCTGTTGTGTTCTGATCAATCAAACAGGGCTAGAGCTAGAGGTCAATGTGAAATGGGGCAGTGGACCCACCTTCTCTGAAACTGGACGACGGGATCAGCCAAGAGGTCAGTGACGTCCAGCTTTTTTCCCTTCTCGATGACAGCATGGTGTTTACGCACAAACAGCCAGCCAATGTGAGCAAAGAAGAAGCCTCGTGTTGCATTGTGGGGGTCTGCATCTGTCTCTGAGAACTTGTGGTGCACACGGTGGTCTCTCGCCCACTCATAGATGTCATTCTGGGGAGGAGAGAGGAGGAAAAAGATGTGTGGAAATGTGTGAAATGAACTTTTTAAATCCTGCATTCAGGCAAATTTTCCATAAAGAGGACATTCAGTTTCTGGAGGACATTCATGATTTATTTGTGAAGAGAAGTATTGTGAAGTCTCTCACAGTGCACCTGGGTAGTCATGACAACACCACTATCCTTTCTGTCCAGGAGACTGCCCACATCAGCCATAGTCTCCCTGCTTTAGATGGCCCTATTGCTCTGTCATAATTAGAAACCAGTGGTGTAATATATTTCAGGTCCTGGGAGGAGACTGAGAGCACAGGCACTTAATTAGATTCATTAACCTGAAACTCAGATCAAATGCAGTCATGGGTTCCAGAGGGGAGGTTTATAGCTGTCAGTTTGTCTATAGTTGTTGTTTCACAGTGTTAACCATAGTAGTGTGGTCCTCTGTAGCTCAGCTGGTAGAGCACGGCGCTTGTAACGCTAAGGTAGTGGGTTCGATCCCCGGGACCACCCATACACAAAAAAAAAAATTATGCACGCTTTGGATAAAAGCGTCTGCTAAATGGCATATTATTATTATAGTATGGCAACCCTGGAGCAAATGAGAGTTAAGTACCTTGCTCAAGGGCACATCGGCAGTTTTTCACATTGTCGGCTCGGGTATTCGAACCAGCAACCTTTCGGTTACTGGCCCAATGCTCTAACCGCTAGGCTACCTGCCGCCTCTGAAAGAAAAAATAGCTTTTGATTTGTAGAAGTACAAGTAAATAATTAATATCCATCTGTTTTGAAATGTAATAAACAAATTGTGATGTCTTTAATGTGTCTAAAAGGGCAGAAAGACCAGCAATACTACATTGAGGTTATCTTCATTCCTGTGCTTTATGGTTTATGAAGGTTCTCTAGAGTGATTCCCACTAATATCTTCAGGGGATGTCAACAGCTTAGGGAGAGAGGGATGGAGGACACTTGAGAAATGAGGAAGAGTAGAATACAGGAGGAGAGGTACTTCTACTGTATTTGATTTGGAAAATTGGTAAACCCTGTTGTTACATCCTGTTGATATGGTTGGATGCTGAGGGGTTGCTAGGTTGCTGTTCTAGTTTTATTATTGTATGCATTCATCACTTAATGTGAATAAAAAATAATAATAAAATGAACTTGAACTAACCTGGAAGGCCATGGAGTTGGCTGCTGCGAGGAAGACTCTGAGAGGGAGCTTGGCCCTGTAGGAGCGGTGGCTCCACAGCCGATGGACCCCTGCTGTCACCCCCAGGGCTGTCACAATGAAACACACATAGGCTGCAACACACATACCAGAAAACACAACAGGGTCATTTAAAAACCGAAAGGGTGAATGCCAGCCTGTTACACACCAGAGCAAAAATATATAAATATTCCAAAACATGCATATGTATGCAACAAGGCACTAAAGTAATACTGCAACAAAAAAAACACTGCAAAGGAATACACTTTATGGCCTAAATGCAAAGCCTTATGTTTGGGGCAAATCGAACACAACACATCATCATGGTATGGGTATGATTTACATCGGCAAAGACGGGAGATTTTCAGGATGAAAAGAAACTGGTTGGAGCTAAGCACAGGCGAAATGGTGAATACTTATCTAATCAAGGTATTTTCATCCACTTTGACATTCCAAAGTATTTTGTGTAGATCGTTGACAAAATGGGGGGGGGGGTAGACTTTCTATATAGTCACTGTATCTATCTATATTGGACAAAAATATAAATGCAACATGCAACAATTTCAAAGATTTTACAGAGTTACAGTTCATATGAGGAAATCAGTCAATTAAAATAAATAAATTAGGACCTAATCTATGGATTTCACATGACTGGGAATACAGATATGCACATCTGTCAGTCACAGATACCTTTTAAAAAATGGGCCTCAGGATCTCTTCACGGTTTTTCTGTGCATTCAAATTGCCATCAATAAAATGCAATTGTGTTCGTTGTCCGTAGTTTATGCCTGCCCATACCATAACCCCACCGCCACCATGGGGCACTCTGTTCACTTATTTTATTTCAGCTCATGAAAAATGGGACCAACACTTTACATGTTGCGTTTATATTTTTGCTCAGTGTAGATTAGTCTCAATGAGATGAAATCTGTTTTGCAAGAGAGGCAGGGTCAGCAGTGTAATACATGTTACAGGGGGATACCAGGCTGAGAGTTTAGGCTCAACCAAATCTCTCTGTCTGGCACCCAGGTCACAAAAATAGGTGCTTTTGAATAATGTGGCCATACATGGTCGATAAATGAAGAGTTCACTCAGGCAGTTTGTCATTGAAAGAAATGTGTCAGTTCCGGTCTACTTAAATGGGTGTGTGTTTATAGCAGCTGGGTCTGGTCTACTTAGTTAATTGACATTCATTGAACCAGAAGAAAAAAAACTGGGGGAAAAAAAATACAGCGAGTGGGGTGTCTCACTTCCTCTTCCGTCTCTGATGTGGCCTCATATACTGGAGGCTATGCAGCTAAAAATAGTGTCCCCTCTGTTCAAACGATTAATGACTAGACTAATGAAAAGGGTTCCACTTGGAAAACTGTGCTGTCTGGTGTCTCATGGAATTGATTCTAGGAACTGAGCATCACTATGTGTCTGTCTGGGTCATCCAGAGAGGGACACACACTGTCCATAGAGGGCCAGACACACTGTGACTGGTCCAGCTTCACACTGTGAATGGTCCAGCTTCACACTGTGACTGGTCCAGCTTCACACTGTGACTGGTCCAGCTTCACACTGTGACTGGTCCATCTTCACACTGTGACTGGTCCAGCTTCACACTGTGACTGGTCCAGCTTCACACTGTGACTGGTCCAGCTTCACACTGTGACTGGTCCAGTTTCACACTGTGACTGGTCCAGTTTCACACTGTGACTGGTCCAGCTTCACACTGTGACTGGTCCAGCTTCAAAGCTTTCCAAGAAAAGAAACAAATGACAGATGGTAATCCCTCAATTAATATCTTAATAGTTAAACATGAGGATGTAGCCAATAATAATAACATGGTCATTTGGCAGAGGATAACACAACTTGATTTTAAATTATTATTTTTAATTAGTTCTGGATATTGCCTACCATATATTCATATTTTAGGTAATCAATACACTTCCTCACTTTATATGAAACAGGTTTAATTTAGAAATGCTTATAAAACAAGACCCTGGTTGTATAGTGAGTCCCCCAATTCAGATGCCTGCTGTTTCTGACATGGAGAGTACTTGATGCCATTACATTTTAAAGGCACAATCTGTTCAAGCTGTTCAATTGTCATCTCAAAAGCTCTCACAGCAAAAACATATATACACCAATAAATGCACATATTAGTTGACTTGGATGAAACATCTCTTACATGAGAATACCTTTTAGTTATGAAATCAGAGGAATTACTGTCTCTAAAAAAGCTGATAGTTACAGTGTAACAAAACAGGTAACTCTGCTCTATAACATTGAAAAAACACAATATGCCTTTCTGTTAAGGCAAATTAAATTCACATGCACAATAATAATCACTATTTATAGTTATGGCATCTCCTTTGTTAAGCCTACTCATAAATGTTTAAAAAAAAACATAAATAGCTAACTTTGGGAGTAGGATGCGTAAACGACATTCAATAGGCTATACATGCATCTATCTCATCACGTATGCAGTGGCACGGCACCTGCTTGCACCGAGTGACTGCGTCTGCAATGGTAATTTCCAGAAGTTACACAAGCACGCTATGATACACAAGTCAAGTTCTTTGTCTCCGGCAGATAAAACTTACACCAGACCCAGGTAAGGGGCTTTGCTCTGGGGATAACAAGGAGGGAATATACCGCCCCGATGTGCAGAAGGGCCATGAGGATAACGTTTCTCCAGACGATTCCCTGAGACCTCCACCCGTCAGCTTTCTCATCACTAGCCCTACACCGAGCTTCCATCGCCGCATTGCTCTCCTCCTCATGTCCCCTCGGTTCCCAGGCTACAGTCTCCCCGTCCTGATGAACATTTGCGCCCGGAACACTCACCATCTTCACAGAGCAAAGCGCAATGTGGGCATATAGTCTATGATCAGTCCAACTAGGCTACAACGAAGTTACCTCAGTGGAAAAGATGAAGTTACATAAACGATGTAGCGAAAAATCTATCAATTTCCACTTTTCCAGCAAACAGCTCGCACACAGCGTATCTTTCGCCTTCTTTTGCTCTGACTCTGTGCCAGTGAGTATGAGAAGAAGTGCTGGATGGGTGAGAGCATTGAAGCTCCCACCGTTGCGCGCACGGGAGCTGCAGTGGCGCAGCCAATAGCGTGCCGCAGCTGTGGTCCTGATGTAAGAACACTGTGGAGTCAGAACCAGCTGGTGTGCGAGCCGGCGAGGATGATGATCTAAGAAAATAACTTCTAAAATAATATATTTTACTATTCTGCTTTATAGCCACAGGTTTTGACGCAATAGGAATGTTTGTAGACGATGTTGCATGTTTGACATAAAATGATTAAAGTAGGTGTTCTGTGAAAAAAATATTCTGTGGGTGAAATGAGGAGCCCACCTGCACAGGCTTGACATTTTACAGTAATGTATCATTATAAAACATTGGACATTTGAGGGAAAAGATCAGACTGGACATTTGTGAAAGCATATTTGTTGCATACTGTTGTCTTACTTTACAAGATAAATAGTTATACCTACTGCATCACCGCCTGGTATGGCAACTGCTCGGCCTCTGACTGCAAGGCACTACAGAGGGTAGTGCGTACGGTCCAGTACATCATTTGGGCCAAGCTTCCTGCCATCCAGGACCTCTATACCAGGCGGTGTTAGATGAAGGCCCTAAAAATTGTCAAAGACTCCAGCCACCCTAGTCATAGACTGTTCTCTCTGCTACCGCACGGCAAGCGGTACCGGAGCGCCAAGTCTAGGTCCAAAAGGCTTCTTAACAGCTTCTACCTCCAAGCCATAAGACTCCTGAACAGCTAATGATGGCTACCCGGACTATTTGCATTGCCCCCCCCCCACCCCAACCCCCTCTTTTACGCTGCTGCTACTCTGTTAATTATTTATGCATAGTCACTTTAACTCTACCCACATCTACAGTGAGGGAAAAAAGTATTTGATCCCCTGCTGATTTTGTACGTTTGCCCACTGAAAGAAATGATCAGTCTATAATTTTAATGGTAGGTTTATTTGAACAGTGAGACACAGAATAACAAAAAATAAATCAAGAAAAACGCATGTAAAAAATTTTATGAATTGATTTGCATTTTAATGAGGGAAATAAGTATTTGACCCCTCTGCAAAACATTACTTAGTACTTGGTGGCAAAACCCTTGTTGGCAATCACAGAGGTTAGACGTTTCTTGTAGTTGGCCACCAGGTTTGCACACATTTCAGGAGGGATTTTGTTCCACTCCTTTTTGCAGATCTTCTCCAAGTCATTAAGGTTTCAAGGCTGACGTTTGGCAACTCGAACCATCAGATCCCTCCACAGATTTTCTATGGGATTAAGGTCTGGAGACTGGCTAGGCCACTCCAGGACCTTAATGTGCTTCTTCTTGAGCCACTCCTTTGTTGCCTTGGCCGTGTGTTTTGGGTCATTGTCATGCTGGAATACCCATCCATGACCCATTTTCAATGCCCTGGCTGAGGGAAGGAGGTTCTCACCCAAGATTTGACGCTACATGGCCCCATCCATCGTCCCTTTGATGCGGTGAAGATGCAGAAAAACACCCCCAAAGCATAATGTTTCCACCTCCATGTTTGACGGTGGGGATGGTGTTCTTTGGGTCATAGGCAGCATTCCTCCTCCTCCCAACACGGCGAATTGAGTTGATGCCAAAGAGCTCGATTTTGGTCTCATCTGACCACAACACTTTCACCCAGTTCTCCTCTGAATCATTCAGATGTTCATTTGCAAACTTCAGACGGGCCTGTATATGTGCTTTCTTGAGCAGGGGGACATTGCGGGCGCTGCAGGATTTCAGTCCTTCACGGCGTAGTGTGTTACCAATTGTTTTCTTGGTGACTATGGTCCCAGCTGCCTTGAGATCATTGACAAAATCCTCCCGTGTAGTTCTGGGCTGATTCCTCACCGTTCTCATGATCATTGCAACTCCACGAGGTGAGATCTTGCATGGAGCCCCAGGCCGAGGGAGATTGACAGGTCTTTTGTGTTTCTTCCATTTGCGAATAATCGCACCAACTGTTGTCACATTCTCACCAAGCTGCTTGGCGATGGTCTTGTAGCCCATTCCAGCCTTGTGTAGGTCTACAGTCTTGTCCCTGACATCCTCGGAGAGCTCTTTGGTCTTGGCCATGGTGGAGAGTTTGGAATCTGATTGATTGATTGCTTCTGTGGACAGGTGTCTTTTATACAGGTAACAAACTGAGATTAGGAGCACTCCCTTAAAGAGTGTGCTCCTAATCTCAGCTCTTTATCTGTATAAAAGACACCTGGGAGCCAGAAATCTTTCTGATTGAGAGGGGGGTCAAATACTTATGTCCCTCATTAAAATGCAAATCAATTTATAACATTTTTGACATGCATTTTTCTGAATTTTGTTGTTGTTATTCTGTCTCTCACTGTTCAAATAAACCTACCATTAAAATTATAGACTGATCATGTCTTTGGCAGTGGGCAAACGTACAAAATCAGCAGGGGAGCAAATACCTTTTTCCCTCACTGTACATATTACCTCAATTACCTTGACTAGCTGGTGCTCCCGCACATTGACTCTGTACCGGTACCCGCTGTATATAGCCTCCCTACTGTTATTATATTTTACTGCTGCTCTTTAATTATTTGCTATTTTTTTACTTACCTATTTTTTACTTAACACTTTTTTTCTTTCTTAAAAACTGCATTGTTGGTTAAGGGCTTGTAAGTAAGCATTTCACCTGTTGTATTCGGCACATGTGGCAAATAAAAATTGATTTGATTTGAACATAGAGTGCTTTCAGAAATTATTCCTACCCCTTGACTTATTCCACATTTTGTTTTACGCAACCTGGTCTCAGGGCATTTCATACTATTCTGTACGTTCTGTTTAGTATGCCATGTTACGTTTCGTATGGTAGCTTATGTATTAATTTGTGGATGTTCATCATCCCATTTCGTATGATATGTTACGAATTACAACTCATATTATATGTTATGAATTTGCAAAACGTACAATATGTTTACGAATTTGCAAAACATGTTATATATTATGAATTCTAGCTAGGTGCCTAGCTGGCTAACATTAGCTAGGCTAGGGGTTAGGGTTAAGGTTAAGGTTAGGGTTAAGTTTAGGAGTTAGCTAAAAGGGTTAAGGTAAGGGTTTGCTAACATGCTAAGTAGCTGCAAAGTAGTAAGTAATTGAAAAGTTGCTAAAGTTGTCCGTGATGAGATTTGAACTCGCAACCTTTGGGTTGCTAGACGTTCGCGTTATACACCCAAACAACCACCCTACTTTCGTTTTGCCTTAAGTAACCATCTGTCTTATGTAACCATACCAAACATTACATTTACATTTTAGTCATTTAGCAGACGCTCTTATCCAGAGCGACTTACAGTTAGTGAATACATATTTTTTTAAATACTGGCCCCCCGTGGGAATCGAACCCACAACCCTGGCGTTGCAAACGCCATGCTCTATTAACTGAGCTACATCCCTGCCGGCCATTCCCTCCCCTACCCTGGACGACGCTGGGCCAATTGTGCGCCGCCCCATGAGTCTCCCGGTCGCGGCCGGCTGCGACAGAGCCTGGATTTGAACCAGGATCTCTAGTGGCACAGTTAGCACTGCGATGCAGTGCCTTAGACCACTGCGCCACTCAGGAGTAAACATAACATATCGTTCTAATTTGAGTGTCCCGGATTCACTTTTACTATGTTACGTCTAGTCTATGAGACCAGGCTGTTACAACCTGAATTCAATATTTTTTTTCTCTCACCCATCTACACACAATACTCCATAATGACAAAGTGAAAACATTTTTTTCATTTAAAATGAAATACAGAAATATCTCATTTACATAAGTATTCACCAGTGGAGGATCCTCAGAGGAGGAAGGGGAGGACCATCCTCCTCAGTGAATTTCATAAAAATTACAATTGTAAAACATTTTAAAAGTTATCCTTTTTAGATAAAACTATACTAAATCACTTCACCAAATAATTGATTAATACACACCATTTTGCAAAGGTCTACAGTAGCCTCAACAGCACTCTGTAGGGTAGCACCATGGTGTAGCCAGAGTACAGCTAGCTTCCGTCCTCCTCTGGGTACATTGACTTCAATACAAAACCTAGGAGGCTCATGGTTCTCATCCCCTTCCATAGACTTACACAGTAATCATGACAACTTCCGGAGGATGTCCTCAAGCCTATCAGAGCTCTTGGGTGGACAACATGAACTGACATGTTGTCCACCCAATCAAAGGATCAGATAATTAATCTAGTACTGAAAGCATAAGCTACAGCTAGCTAGCACTGCAGTGTATAAAATGTGGTGAGTAGTTGACTCAAAGAGAACAGTTTTGAACAAATTAATTTCTTCCAAAATGAAGGAGAAGCAAGAGAGAAATAGAGCGAGAGAGCGAGTCATTTTTTTCCCACTTTCAGTTTCACTTACTTAGCTAGCAAACAAACATGTTAGCTAGCTGGCTATGACTTTCCAACAGAACACTGCAACTCTTCCAAGTCAAGGTAAGCTTTTAGTATTACTAATTTATTGCCACGGGGCCCGCCGGAGTAACTGCTTACTGACTGTACGCTAACATTACTGCATGATTGTAGCGGGTTTACTAATGCGTTAGTTCTATTAGCTATGCTATGACATTACTTTAGCTAATATGGTGACAATGATGTAGGCTGTGTGTAGCGGTTTGGCTTGGAAAGTTTTTTTTGCCTGGTCACATACAGCTGATGTGTTGTGAAGTCCACAAGCGAAGAGAAGAGGTGAGAGGAGGAGAGATGCGAGAAGGAATACAACTTGGCTGCTATGAAAGTGAACTGTGTTTGCGAGTGATCAAGGGTGTATTCATTCTGATTCTGTTGAAAAACTTTTCTTAAAACGGAAGAAACGTAACAAAATGGGGAAAAACATACCTGAATTTGTCCAATAGAAACTCTCGTTTGCAACTGTTGGACTAATGATTACACCCTATATCAGCTAGATGCAGGCAAGAGTGTGCAAGGCAGACTGAGGGACCTTACAGATAATTGTGTGTGTGGGGTACAGAGTGGAGTCATTCAAAAATCATGTTAAACACTATTATTGAACACAGTGAGTGAGTGCATGCAACTTATTATGTGACTTGATAAGGACATTTTTATTTCTGAACTTATTTAGGCTTGACATAACAAAGGGGTGGAATACTTTGACTGAAGACATTTCAACTTTTCATTTATAATTAATTTGATAAAAAATTCCCCCAAAAAAATTCCACTGACATTAAGGGGTATTGTGTGTAGGCCAGTGACACAAACTCTCAATTTAATCAATTTTAAATGCAAAATGTGGAAAAAGTCAAAGGGTTTGAATACTTTCTGAAGGCACGGTAGATATTAGGCTTAGTAGATATGAGGGCAGGCAGAGATTGATATAAAAGCTAATAGTGACCATCTTTATTTAGTAAATTCATAAGAAATTACAAATTCAAGACACTAAAAACTCCCTTTATGTCTTCAGCCATCAGGTCAAGGCTGAAGATGGATCCATACAGTCAAGACACATACGTCATTCTCCGTTCCAACACAATGGCATTGCATTCAGATGCTCATAAGACTAACAGCTCCATAGAGCACAAGGAGAACATGAGATAAGTTAACTGTCCAGTTGATGAATTAGATATTTTTTAATTGGTCAGTATTTGTAAACGGAAAGGCATTTAGTCTATTAAAGCATGACATCCAAGCGGTTTACATTTAGCAACATCTCAAAGCAACTGATATTAAAACAACGGAGCAGCATGTTTTAAATAAATACTATTTATTGAAAATATTGCATGTTGTCGATTTTAAAAAATTTCCTCCTCTCAACATTAAATCTACAGCCTTAATCATACTGAAGACAAGAACTGAGAAGAAACTAATTAAAACTATCGCGTTAAGCTCACGATGGCATGACCACCATTAGAAAGCCAGTTCCCTCATTATTAAACCTGACATTAATAATACCCAATTAAAACAGTCTGACAATGATTCCAGGCATAATGTCTCAGCATACATTCCTCCTGTGTTTTAAAGTACAGTCTCTTGTTTGTTTGTTTGAAAGTACAGTCTCTGATTTCTGTGTTTTAAAAAGTATAGTCTCTGGTTAAAAGGGGAGGAACCCCCATTGCACTCTGCTCTGTCTGAAAACTATGATTACACTGAAAATAAACAACAAGAAAATAAAACAGAATGACAAATAATGATCTAAAAACAACATAAAAGACATGATCCTAAAAACTGGAATGAGTTGTTTTTCTTTTTAACATACTATCCCATGTGTCTACTGTACTGTTGTGATACTGGTGGCATGGCTTGTGTTTGAGTTGTAAAAGGGGAGGCGGGGAGGGGATGAAGAATCCGACAGTGATGTCATATATATCATGATTCTTCAGGGAGTATAATATCTGCACTGGGAGCCAAATAGAACTTCCACTAAAATGAGCTGATTAAAACACCTGGCTCGCGCCTCCCGAGTGGTGCAGCGGTCTAAGGCACTGCATCGCAGTACTTGAGGCGTCACTACAGACCCGGGTTTGATCCCAGGCTGTGTCACAGCCGGCCGTGACCGGGAGACCCATGAGGCGGCGCACAATTAGCCCAGCGTTGTCCGGGTTATGGGAGGGTTTGGCCGGCTGGGATGTCCTTGTCCCATTGCGCTCTAGCGACTTCTTGTGGTAGGCCGGGCGCCTGCAAGCTGACTGTCACCAGGTGTACGGTGTTTCCTCCGACACATTGGTGCGGCTGGCTTCCGGGTTAAGCGAGCAGTGTGTCAAGAAGCAGTGCGGCTTGGCAGGGTCGTGTTTCGGAGTCGCATGGCTCTCGACCTTCACCTCTCCCGAGTCCGTACGGGAGTTGCAGCGATAGGACAAGACTAACTACCAATTGGATATGATGAAATTGGGGAGAAAAAAGGGGTAAAAAGTACACACATTTACTTTCTGGTCTTTTTTTTCTGACATCATCCATTCCTGAGCAATCCTTCTCCATCTCACCCCAGACTCAGAGGAGTGGGGGAGGGTTTCTCATCCTGTTCAGACCCCCAGTTTGTTGGCTTGCAGCACCACCTTAAGCACAGGCATGAAGGCAGACGTCTCGCTGAAGTTGCTGCTACTCACTATGTGCGTGTGGATGTTGAGGCTCTCCATGTAGGAACGAGACTCGATGCACTGCACCATGTTGTGCAGGCCTCCTACGATGGCCAGGGAGAGCTAGACACAACAAAGAGACCGAGAGAGACGAAAGAGGGAGAAATTGAGAGAGATAGACAGAGATTGACAGAGAGAGATTCATGGTGTGAGTGTACGTTTCAAAATGATATGCAACATTCTAACATGGAATTTAGAAGTGTAAGAATGTAGAATTATTCAACTCACTGTCTGCTCTCGTAGCTTGTCATAGAGGGCCTCAAGGCGCTTGTTGGCGTCATCCAGCTTCCTCTTGGTTTGCTGTGGGGGATGAGACAAGTACATTGAAAAATGTTTTACACAATCACTTTTTTAAAATCACTTTGTAGACAAATTAATTATATAGGAAAGGAGTTTTATTTGAAGAGGCATCTAAACGTCTATGTACTACACAGTATTGTATATGAACTGTAACTGAAGGGGATTTATTTTTTGGAGTGCTGTACTCACAGGGTCTGTGGCAGCAGCCAAGCACTGGATGAGGCCCTCTAAGGTGTTCTTCAGGACCTGGTGCTCCTCAGGGATGGGTTTCTTAGTGATCTTCTCAGCAGGGATGGACTGCAGCGGCTGGACGGTAATCACAGTCCATGGGTTTAGACTGGAATTATTGTGAATTATTGCAGAGTTTTCTAAATTGCAATTTTACCACCTTAAAATGTTAAGAGCTTTGAGGCCATATAACACTACTAGTAATGTAATCCACTATCAATGTTTCTCATAATCTTAAATCAGGAATAGGCCAATTTATAAAAGCAACAGACCAATACCTGTATGACATCTCCAGTAGGGGCTCCGGGCGCTCCCTCCACATTCCCTCCATCTGCTGCTGCTGCATGCCCTGGTTCTGGGCCTGGCCTGGGGCCATGGGATGGGGGGGCATGGAGGGGGACTGCTGGGCCTGGGGGTCCCCGGCACCCAGGGGAGAAAAGATGGAGGCAGGAGGAGTGTAGTTCTCTGGAACCTGAAAGGGGGAAATATATATATATATATATATATATATATATATATATATATATATATATATATATATATATATATATATATATATATAGTGGGGGGAAAAAGTATTTAGTCAGCCACCAATTGTGCAAGTTCTCCCACTTAAAAAGATGAGAGGCCTGTAATTTTCATCATAGGTACACGTCAACTATGACAGACAAAATGAGAAAAACAAATCCAGAAAATCACATTGTAGGATTTGTTATGAATTTTTTTGCAAATTATGGTGGAAAATAAGTATTTGGTCAATAACAAAAGTTTCTCAATACTTTGTTATATACCCTTTGTTGGCAATGACACAGGTCAAACGTTTTCTGTAAGTCTTCACAAGGTTTTCACACACTGTTGCTGGTATTTTGGCCCATTCCTCCATGCAGATCTCCTCTAGAGCAGTGATGTTTTGGGGCTGTCGCTGGGCAACACGGACTTTCAACTCCCTCCAAAGATTTTCTATGGGGTTGAGATCTGGAGACTGGCTAGGCCACTCCAGGACCTTGAAATGCTTCATACGAAGCCACTCCTTCGTTGCCCGGGCGGTGCGTTTGGGATCATTGTCATGCTGAAAGACCCAGCCACGTTTCATCTTCAATGCCCTTGCTGATGGAAGGAGGTTTTCACTCAAAATCTCACGATACATGGTCCCATTCATTCTTTCCTTTACACGGATCAGTCGTCCTGGTCCCTTTGCAGAAAAACAGCCCCAAAGCATGATGTTTCCACCCCCATGCTTCACAGTAGGTATGGTGTTCTTTGGATGCAACTCAGCATTCTTTGTCCTCCAAACACGACGAGTTGAGTTTTTACCAAAAAGTTATATTTTGGTTTCATCTGACCATATGACATTCTCCCAATCGTCTTCTGGATCATCCAAATGCACTCTAGCGAACTTCAGACGGGCCTGGACATGTACTGGCTTAAGCAGGGGGACACGTCTGGCACTGCAGGATTTGAGTCCCTGGCGGCGTAGTGTGTTACTGATGGTAGGCTTTGTTACTTTGGTCCCAGCTCTCTGCAGGTCATTCACTAGGTCCCCCCGTGTGGTTCTGGGATTTTTGCTCACTGTTCTTGTGATCATTTTGACCCCACGGGGTGAGATCTTGCGTGGAGCCCCAGATCGAGGGAGATTATCAGTGGTCTTGTATGTCTTCCATTTCCTAATAATTGCTCCCACAGTTGATTTCTTAAAACCAAACTGCTTACCTGTTGCAGATTCAGTCTTCCCAGCCTGGTGCAGGTCTACAATTGTGTTTCTGGTGTCCTTTGACAGCTCTTTGGTCTTGGCCATAGTGGAGTTTGGAGTGTGACTGTTTGAGGTTGTGGACAGGTGTCTTTTATACTGATAACAAGTTCAAACAGGTGCCATTAATACAGGTAACGAGTGGAGGACAGAGGAGCCTCTTAAAGAAGAAGTTACAGGTCTGTGAGAGCCAGAAATCTTGCTTGTTTGTAGGTGACCAAATACTTATTTTCCACCATAATTTGCAAATTCATTAAAAATCCTACAATGTGATTTTCTGGAATTGTTTTTCTCAATTTGTCTGTCATAGTTGACGTGTACCTATGATGAAAATTACAGGCCTCTCTCATCTTTTTAAGTGGGAGAACTTGCACAATTGGTGGCTGATTAAATACTTTTTTCCCCCACTGTATGTATGTATGTATGCATGTATGATATATATATATATATATATACACACATACAGTGAGGGGAAAAAAGTATTTGATCCCCTGCTGATTTTGTACATTTGCCCACTGACAAAGAAATGATCAGTCTATAATTTTAAATGGTAGGTTTATTTGAACAGTGAGAGACAGAATAACAACAAAAAAATCCAGAAAAACGCATGTCAAAAATGTTATAAATTGATTTGTATTTTAATGAGGGAAATAAGTATTTGACCCCCTCTCAATCAGAAAGATTTCTGGCTCCCAGGTGTCTTTTATACAGGTAACGAGCTGAGATTAGGAGCACACTCTTAAAGGGAGTGCTCCTAATCTCAGCTTGTTACCTGTATAAAAGACACCTGTCCACAGAAGCAATCAATCAATCACATTCCAAACTCTCCACCATGGCCAAGAACAAAGAGCTCTCCAAGGATGTCAGGGACAAGATTGTAGACCTACACAAGGCTGGAATGGGCTACAAGACCATCGCCAAGCAGCTTGGTGAGAAGGTGACAACAGTTGGTGTGATTATTCGCAAATGGAAGAAACACAAAAGAACTGTCAATCTCCCTCGGCCTGGGGCTCCATGCAAGATCTCACCTTGTGGAGTTGCAATGATCATGAGAACGGTGAAGAATCAGCCCAGAACTACACGGGAGGATCTTGTCAATGATCTCAAGGCAGCTGGGACCATAGTCACCAAGAAAACAATTGGTAACACACTACGCCGTGAAGGACTGAAATCCTGCAGCACCCGCAAGGTCCCCCTGCTCAAGAAAGCACATATACAGGCCTGTCTGAAGTTTGCCAATGAACATCTGAATGATTCAGAGGAGAACTGGGTGAAAGTGTTGTGGTCAGATGAGACCAAAATCGAGCTCTTTGGCATCAACTCAATTCGCCGTGTTGGGAGGAGGAGGAATGCTGCCTATGACCCAAAGAACACCATCCCCACCGTCAAACATGGAGGTGGAAACATTATGCTTTGGGGGTGTTTTTCTGCTAAGGGGACAGGACAACTTCACCGCATCAAAGGGACGATGAACAGGGGGCCATGTACCGTCAAATCTTGGGTGAGAACCTCCTTCCCTCAGCCAGGGCATTGAAAATGGGTCGTGGATGGGTATTCCAGCATGACAATGACCCAAAACACACGGCCAAGGCAACAAAGGAGTGGCTCAAGAAGAAGCACATTAAGGTCCTGGAGTGGCCTAGCCAGTCTCCAGACCTTAATCCCATAGAAAATCTGTGGAGAGAACTGAAGGTTCGAGTTGCCAAACGTCACCCTCGAAACCTTAATGACTTGGAGAAGATCTGCAAAGAGGAGTGGGACAAAATCCCTCCTGAGATGTGTGCAAACCTGGTGGCCAACTACAAGAAACGTCTGACCTCTGTGACTGCCAACAAGGGTTTTGCCACCAAGTACTAAGTCATGTTTTGCAGAGGGGTCAAATACTTATTTCCCTCATTATAATGCAAATCAATTTATAACATTTTTGACATGCGTTTTTTTGGATTTTTTTGTTGTTATTCTGTCTCTCACTGTTCAAATAAACCTACCATTAAAATTATAGACTGATCATTTCTTTGTCAGTGGGCAAACCTACAAAATCAGCAGGGGATCAAATAATTTTTTCCCTCACTGTATACACACACGGCCTCACGGGGGGGCCAGTATGAATTTCTTATTTAAAAAATGTATGCATTCACTAACTAAGTCGCTCTGGATAAGAGCGTCTGCTAAATGACTAAAATTTAAATACACATATGTATATATATATACACATACATACACACATACATATATATATATATATATATATATACAGTTGAAGTCGGAAGTTTACATACACCTTAGCCAAATACATTTAAACTCAGTTTTTCACAATTCCTGACATTTAATCCTAGTAATAATTCCCTGTCTTAGGTCAGTTAGGATCCCCACTTTATTGTAAGAATGTGAAATGTCAGAATAATAGCAGAGAAAATGATTTATTTCAGCACATTCCCAGTGGGTCAGTAGTTTACATACACTCAATTAGAATTTGGTAGCATTGCCTATAAACTGTTTAACTTGGGTCAAACGTTTCTGGTAGCCTTCCACAAGCTTCCCACAATAAGTTGGGTGAATTTTGGCCCATTCCTCCTGACAGAGCTGGAGTAACTGAGTCAGGTTTGTAGACCTCCTTGCTCGCACACGCCTTTTCAGTTCTGCCCACACATTTTCTACAGGATTGAGGTCAGGGCTTTGTGATGGCCACTCCAATACCTTGACTTTGTTGTCCTTAAGCCATTTTGCCACAACTTTGGAAGTATGCTTGGGGTCATTGTCCATTTGGAAAACCCATTTGTGACCAAGCTTTAACTTCCTGACTGATGTCTTGAGATGTTGCTTCAATATATCCACATAATTTTCCATCCTCATGATGCCATCTATTTTGTGAAGTGCACCATCCCTCCTACAACAAAGTACCCCCACAGCATGATGCTGCCACCCCGTGCTTCACGGTTGGGATGGTGTTCTTCGGCTTGCAAGGCACCCCCTTTTTCCTCCAAACATAACGATGGTCATTATGGCCAAACAGTTCTGTTTTTGATTAATCAGACCAGAGGACATTTCTCCAAAAAGTACGATCTTTGTCCCCATGTGCAGTTGCAAACCGTAGTCTGGCTTTTTTATGGCGGTTTTGGAGCAGTGGCTTCTTCCTTGCTGAGCGGCCTTTCAGGTTATGTTGATATAGGACTCGTTTTACTGTGGATATAGATACTTTTGTACCTGTTTCCTCCAGCATCTTCACAAGGTCCTTTGCTGTTGTTCTGGGATTGATTTGCACTTTTCGCACCAAAGTACGTTCATATCTAGGAGACAGAACGCGTCTCCTTCCTGAGCGGTATGGCGGCTGCGTGGTCCCATGGTGTTTATACTTGCGTACTATTGTTTGTACAGATGAACATGGTACCTTCAGGCATTTGGAAATTGCTCCCAAGGATGAACCAGACTTGTGGAGATCTACCATTTTTTTCTGAGGTCTTGGCTGATTTCTTTTGATTTTCCCATGATGTCAAGCAAAGAGGCACTGAGTTTGAAGGTAGGCATTGAAATACATCCACAGGTACACCTCCAATTGACTCAAATGATGTCAATTAGCCTACCAGAAGCTTCTAAAGCCAGGACATCATTTTCTGGAATTTTCCAAGCTGTTTAAAGGCACAGTTAACGTAGTGTATGTAAACTTCTGACCCACTGGAATTGTGATACAGTGAATTAGAAGTGAAATAATCTGTCTG